CGCGTGTGTACTCGTGTCGTTGGAAGGTTATGTTGATCATGATAATTAATATTCCAAAATAAACTATCTCAAGATGATTTTCGCATTTGAGTGATTTTCCTTATAAAATCCTTACGGGCTTTTTGGCAATTTATAAGTTGAGGTAACTGGTTTACTGATTCCACTACATAATCATCCTCTACCTAGTGGTAGAAGCAGGACTAAGGAAAATGCAATTGTGACGGTGAGGATAAGATCGTCGGAAGGGGTTGCTGATTGCTCTTTTATCGCAAGGAGATTAATGGGCTTGCATTCCTAGTGAATACTTGAGAATTGCGATTGTTGTTGTGATTATTATGCACCTACCAGAGCCGAGGCCTTAACAGATGATTAGCAAAACCTGGCTGTGATTCACCAGCATCTGGGGAGTCGTTAAGCAGCTAGAATCTTGATAAGTTTGCACATTTTACGTGTACGAAGCAATTTGGTTGCCTCCTTAAAAGAATGTAGTCACATTACCGATGCCTACATAATGGTGTGTGAAATTACAAAAGAGATCCGTTGAACGTGCTCACTAACTCCAAACGTGAAGTAGTTTGTCTGTTAATAGGCAAGGGGTGGTGTCCAATATAAAATGAAATGAAACATACTATTAGGCTTAATTTTGTCAAATGAGTGTTTTCCATGAAGCACAAACATGCTTAAACCCAGAACCGGAAAAAGTTGTTATAGACAGGCAATGCGCCAATAATTTTCCTCCCAAATTATGAAATTGAAAATTGAAGTAAATACTTCATTCTTGAACGTGCAACCATTTGTTTCGCCTTATTCATGCTTATGAAATCTGTCCATCCAATTGAAAATTTAAATGGGAACGAATTACTTGAATTTGATAAACCTGAACCGGTTTTAAAAATGTGCGCTATTTTAGCATTCCCTAGACTTATTAATATTTAATATTGAGAATTACATGGTGGTTTTTATAATTGCCAATTTGTAATTTGATGATAGTCAATGACTCAGGCAAAATTAGCGCATACCTTTTCGACGGGAAGATCTAAGGCAACTTCAGTCACTTCATCGGGATGAATCATCATCTGTTGGCTGTCTGCTGAGAGATCCTCTGAAGCCCTACGACCAGCGGCAGAACTGCCCATATAGCAGCGAAAAGTGGGTACATAGCTGACATAGGGCGAATTCAGTGCCTTTACCACACCTCTTGATGTATCGTGGGGAATAAGGTGGACGTTCCAAGCCACACATCGTAGCTCACAGGGTCGATCGGGGATCTGCGAGGAGGAATTGTCTTTCAAGGGCCCACCACAAATGCTACCACCACTGCTTTCTGCTTGGCTTTCGTAGTGATAAATCTCTACCACTGGAAAGAATCGAAGCCGCACCAAGGTGCCAAGAATGTCGCTCAGGACCATCCATTCATGACCATCTGGATCTTTACAGCGGGCGAAATTCTTGCCGCCCTGAGGCGCAATCGGAATAAGATCGATTCGGGAGACGGGAGCAGCTGCCAGCATCTCAACAATTATTTTAACGCGCTGTTTTGCTGGCAGTGGGCCTGCTGCAAACCATTTAGGATCGCCGATTTCACAGCCGACAGTTGTTGCGCCGTTGTCAGCAGTTATGAGGTGATCCACTGGCCCAAAACTTGCCTCTCCCACCGAGCCCCAAATGAGTGTAGCTTTGTATCGTACCCGACACCAGTGATTTGTTCGACTGTGGCGCTGAAGTTTCACTCTTGGGCAAAGAGAATTGTTACTAGTCTCGCTGGCACCTCTTGCCTGGCGCATGAAAGCTGTAATGCTATGTTTCTTGCTGTCCACTGGAGGCCAGTTTAAACTAACATTCCAATCCGACCCAGCATAAGTGAAACTGGCGGATTCTAATCGAAGCCCACTAGCAGCATCCTTTTGCCCATTTTTAGGTAGAGTGAAGAGCTCTTCGTATGCTGTGCTTGCACCCTGAAGCTCCACTTCAACCAGCCATGTCCAGTCATCGAAATAAAAATGTTCAGATGCCAATCGGTCGGCTCCAATCCAGCCCTGTTTCCAGCGCGTTGGATTGTCGGCCGTAAATGCTACATGTCGTTCCTCATGGGTTCTATTGTAGTGGATTGACTCTCGATTTAAAATGGTATAGCGAATCATCTCAAGTTTGCAGTACATGCCAGCCAGGCCACCACACAACGTAAGGCCGACATTGAGATACGTCTTCTGTCCCATGGCTCGTGGAGACTCGCATCCATTTGCTACGCTCTCGTCAGTAATTTTTGCTTGGACATCGTCATGCTGCAAGCACAACTGCAATTGCCAACTCTGCCCTCCATAAGGAAATTCCTTAGATTGGGCCGTGTTAATGAAACCGCGCGTCAGCTGAGATGGTACGATGAAAGTGAAAACTTGACTGTCGGCCTTATCTCCAAGCCGAACGAATCGATGAAGTTGGATGCAGTTGGACTTGGCTGTAATGGAACCAAAACTCTTCATGGTTGATGAAAAAATGACTTGAATATTTCATTACTGTTACCTAAAGCATGTCTCAACGCCAGAGGGGTTGATTGGCCAACCGAGGTGGGGTCCAATGGGAGGCGAGTACTCAAATGTTGACGATTTGCGCACGGATTCGCCATGTATGAATGGTGTTTCAGCACGTGGCCTTCCTATATGAAAGAATGCCAAGTCTAAATACTTACAAAATCCATTTCATGGAAAATGGAAGGAGTGGAACCAACTAGCAATGAGATCTTTAATCGGGGAGTTACAGGCCGCAATGCAGTAATTCAAAAAAGGAGTCAATCCTGATGGTTCCTTGGCTTAGTGTAGTAAAAATTTATTTGTCGACACAGGAAATCACTAAAAAATCTTTTCACTTAATCAACCGGTATTTACTGTTGTTAAAACAGCAACCGAAAATCCTGAGCTAAAGATGCCAGCTATCGGGCTCAGAATTGAAATCCTTTAAGTACCCGTGCTTTATTCAGTAACCCATTCTCCGACATCTTTTTTATTTGCCTACGTTAGTAATTACTGTCTGCATTAAAGGTGTTTGTGCACCTGCTGGTAGACATTGGCCAAGTCAGAAGCATCCACTGTCATGCCGACAAGATTTAATCAAATGAAATGCTTAGGTTGATTAGCCAGTACGAAAAAAGGATAACAAAGTTCAATTACGGAAAGCACTCTCTCATTTTAAATTGAGCCTCCATTTTGAATAATGAACTCTTCACAGCCGTACAATATTTATAAGTGGTTATCGTGTCTGTTGTGGTCGGCTAATTTGATTAGCTCCAGGGTGATACACTGATCACTTCACATGTTCGCGATGAACCTGGGTGTGCAATCACTCAAATTCAGTGCGAAGGGGCACTCCTCAAGGGGGAGAGGCAAATACTTTGTCACTACTTCAGACGTGTTGCTGCATCCTCAGCCGCCGATCACTGTCACGCTAGCACATTTCAAGGTAGTCATTAATTTTAGACCGTCTTTTAAAAAGAAAATAACCCAAAATATTTTTATTGGATCAGTAAATGATCAGTTATATGATTGATTATTTTCGGCTTAAAATGCAAATCTTTGAGGGCAGCAGAAGGAAAATCTGATCCCTTTATTCACAATGACATTTAAACACAAGCATAAAAATTCGGCAGCTCTAACACAGCCCCTTATAGGGAACAGGAAAAGGACTCGAGGAAGGTTATTTGAAAGGTTAATTTATTCACGAGTTGTTGTTTTACTTTTTCCCCGTTTCATTATCTCCCACCGAAACACCGTTTCATGGCTACCCATTTGATCCTGTTAGCGCGATCCGCATAAATTACAAGGGTTTTGTTTACCTGTATCGGGTAGACTTCGGCAAAGACGAACTACCCATTGCCATTCAACTTGGTTTAAAACTACATAAATAGGACTCGGCAAAACTTAAAAGTTCTTCCTTCTTAGTCACAAGCTGTAGATGCGAAATGGTATTTTATGACTTGTGACTTGACTTTTTCTGCGAAAACCTTGAGCCTTCTCCCATTAACTCCGACAACCCTAGTACTCAGACCCGCCTATAGGACATTTATAATCGTGAGTTTCAAGGTTGAAATGCTCTTTTTTTCGCTTAAATGCTTTTTTTGCAACACGACATTCTGTAACTCGAAAACTTAATGAAAGAGTGAATGAAATTCTCCTTTGCTCGATTTGCGGTGGACTTGAAAATCTCCCACTCTCTTAATCGTAAAATGGTGGGCGTGGCTGTTGAACCTTTGAGGTAAGTAGGCGAGTTAGGCTTAGGTGCGAAAGAAGGTATTCGTAGGTTAATTTAGGCTCTGTCAAAATTGGTGTAACCTGCCCACTTAAAGATGTCAATCAAGTAAGTGGTGCTCATAAATAAGCTAAAGATAAGACGAATAGCCAATGTCTGGGTGAGGGGGGGGTTTCAAGTCAAACTCGGACTCTTAATTTTATGGTTTTGCAGTAAAAAACGCTGTGGTACATATCAAATGCGCCTGACCACTGATTGTCTGCTTATATCGTGAGCTGGTGCAGACACTGGTGGTAGTGCGTGCGCGCGTTTGTATTGCAATGGATACACTTCCCAACGGACTAAGGCGTAAAGCTTGAAGCTGTGGATACCTGCTTGTATCCCAAAACCACACCAAGCATAGTGCAATGTATTTTAGTGGTGTCAACGTTTTACGGACGGCTGTGTATCCGCTAGTGGATCTCACGGGACAGTAGTCATTTCTGTAAACACATTGTAAGTAGAATGCTCGATCCTGGATAATTGTCCCAGAGGCGAATCATGCTGTGGGAACGATGAACGCAACTACCAAAGAGCAATTTCAATTTTGAAAAGTTGGCGCATGGTAGGTACTAAGACTGAATATCCCAGACAAGCTGTAGTAGGATGGTTCAGACTTAACTTATTAATGAAAAACTGATATAAGAATGTAAATGTAGCAGGACGCAACGTAAGCTTTCGTTATATGAAATTTAATGGCTGCTTTTATAGCCTCAAAAGTCCTTAATAGTTCTGAATTTTTCTCGCAGTATGATTTCTCAGTTTAGAAATAGCACTTTTGTCACGCATTTGACACAAGAGTAAACGAGAAATAAGGTTGAAATGATAGATTGGTTTGTTAAATTTATACGGGCGCACACAATTTGCGATTGGTCCCGGAATTAAGCGCTGCTTACTTCGTCTTCCGGCCCTGAAATCCGGTGCAATAATTATACGCTTCGCCGTCAGTAATGTGTATTCAAATGGTACAGGTATGTAATTCTCTTTAGTTAGATTTAGTAGAAGGAAGTTGGAATCCTAAAATTCATCTCTAAATCATGGTAGAAAAGTGCAGGGAAAGAAAAGATGTGCACGCACTCTCATAACCGTGCATGACAGAAGTAACAAGTCATTAGATTCTCAATCTGAGCAAAAAGTGGATCCAACCCTCATCAGAGGAGTAAATTGGCGAAAAAAATGCTTTTCAATCCCTTAAGTCATCACTTGTGGTGGCTGAAGCCATATTACTGACTGAATGAGCATGTTCGGTGAGACCACGCCTTTGTGAAGGTTGCAATTTGTGGTGTTACATCAACCCATACATTAGAAATTTCCCATTCTTTAACTTAACTTTATATTATTTATGGGTTATGGTTGGTGAATAACAATTTTTCAGTTTTCCTTAAGGGAACTTTTGAGAGTCTTCTGTAATTTTAGGCTAAAATGCAAAATGATAGCAAACTCTTCCCTACACAAAAGTATAGTATGAAACTAGTCACAAGCTTTTGTTCTTCCTCCTAATTTTTTTTCAGTCACCAATATTTCCCGCTTAAATGTGGTGGCCAATTTTCCCTTTATCTTTCAGTTCATTTAGTTAAAAACCTCATTTGAAAAAGTGTCTGCGGAATTGGAACTCCATACTTGTAAACTTACTTAAAAGTATGGTGGAGCTGAAAGCAGTCATCGATAGAGGCATCGTAGTGTTGGGCATTAGTAAAAAAAAACATCAAAGTTTATCTTTCCATCCAGTCAGGACTTATAAGTGCATTTCTACATTCTTCGAATTGTTGAATTTTATGCCAAAGAGAGCCAACATATGGGCAGTAGTCTTGGCATCCGGTTTCCTCTCTAAAACAGTTTTCAGAGCTTGTCCGCTTCAGAAAGTGAATGTTGGAACCCCTAATCACAATAATAGACATCTAAAGTAACTAAACAAAAGCGGACGGAAACCATCAAGTACTTTTTGAGCTGAATGACTTTCTATGGAAAACGGAGTATGTAATCACGGTGATTGTGTATAGGTCAGTGAAATCGTTTGTAAGAACTTGATTAGAGATTGATTTTCTTATTTTACTTATTTTTTCCTTCTGACTAGTCATGATAGCTTAAGTCTAGATTTTATTCTCTAAGACAAATTTGTAGCAGACTATTTCATCAACACCTACTGATCATAGAATAAATTTTTGTTCACTGAGGCATGCTTCAGTCTACCTTCAAAATATCAAACTGCTTCCCTCAGCTCGGTTTTATTCACCTGGCTGGAATACATTAACAATAAATGCTTCCTTCCCAGTAGAAAAAAAGTGAAAAATTACTTGCATGCTATAAATACTCTTTTCAGACTGAAAATAAACATAACACTAGGCTTTTATTCACTTCATTGAATGTTCCGAAATGAAACAAAAAAGACCAACTAAATGCGGTACAAACACTATTCATGTTAGGGACGTGCCTTTTTTCAAAACAGCTGCCATCACAGAACAAACTGTTCGCTCACACCTCTTCGTTTCATGTTTTTATTGTTCCGCCCAGTTTCTGCTTTAGTAAACATCCTGTTGTCAGTCTGTGCTTACAATCTCTGGATCCGTTTCTACAGTCAAGGGTCTGAGATTTTGACTGTCTTTAAAAAATAGATCTTTTTCAAGTGAATTAGCATAAAGGAATAAGCCTTTGTGATGGCAGAGAGAGCATTACAGCGCTTCTGGGCTCCCTAAAGACAACCTACTACTCTGGCGGAATGTGTATTGGCGACGTAGAGAAAGGGTTTGGGGCTACTGACATGGCTCGGAAGCAAGACCACCCTTTGGTTTTCTCAGTGGCCCATTACCAGAACTTAGAGCTAGACAGCCAATTGAAGGTGCAAAAGCGTCATTTCATTCCTTAGCTTCTTTCGGGAGAATTAGGCTATTAACTTTATTTTAGATTACTTCTTACTGGCGGAAAAGATGACTAAATAAATTATGAATCATAAAATCTGACATCTTGTGAATTAAACTTGCTTTAAATCACCATCTTCTTTAGCACGTAGACTACTCTACTCCAATTCCCTAAGCAAGTCAGACAAACAGGGAGATAGGAAATTTTTTATTCTGTTCATTTCCTGCGTCACATATTTGTGACGCAAGTTATCTGTCTAGACATTAGTTCTCATTCTAATGCTGTGCTCAGCGCAATCAAAACGTTTGTGCACAAGCTGGGTCAGCGGCATAAAAATAAATTAAGGCTTATCGTTCAAGCCTGGTATCGCGAACAGGTAGAATGTGTTGGCTTAAGGATAGTCGGTTCCTAGCTCGTGCTGCGAAGCAGCTAAGGGTTATTCAGACAATAATACAAAAGTGAAATGATCATATTCTGAGAACGCTAGTACTTTTGATACCTAAGCCACATAACCCTAAAGTAATTGCTTCGGTACTGCAAGTGTAGGTGCCACATAAGAATGCTTAATCATCTGCACCATAATAGTCGCTTTCTCTCCGAGACCGTGGTAGCTAATGTGTTAATTACTTACCCATCTAGCTCCATATTCCCATCGTAAAAAGTTTTAATATGTCTTTGTCAAAGGAAAGGAGAGTTTACAATTAAACCTTACAAACCACCCTCAAAGGCAAATCATGCTGATACAGCTATGTTATAGCTCCCGTGTCTTCCCCAAAAGACGTAATGCAGCATGTCAGCATCGGAGGAGCTTTATGTGCTGAAAGGCTACAGACACGGAAGAAAGGTAACTAAGCAAAGGCGGTGGTAGAATCCAAGGGAGTAAAATATAACATGCAATAATAACAAATTCCGTTTTACAGAATAGCAGTCAAATTTTCCCACTCACCTTTCGTTTACACTTAGGTATATAAATGAACATTAAAGGATAATCCTCGTACTTAAAACCTTCGAGCGGCTCATTGAGCCAAGTTTTAACTCAATGGGGTGGTTAGAATATCGAATCCTCAAGTTAAAGAAGATTATCATAACTATTACCCATGTTTTTATGACATTTTGCGATTATACTTAAAATCCCTTCTACAATTTCCCTTAAAGCACTTGGAGAGGAGGAAAAAATTAGAATTCGCAAGCACCTCTCAGTTGCATCAAGTAAACCAACTTATTGCCAGGAGGCATCAAATAGAACTGGGCCATGGAGATTGACACCATTATGTGGTAGAAAGTCGGCATATTTCCACTAACTTTAAGATATTTTTATGCCTTATATATTCCTTAAATAGGTGCGTCGATCAATTTTAGAACCATTAATTTCCACTTAAACAGTTTTGTCGTTTAAAGGATATGAATGGTGAGATTAGATCAGAGGTAGTTCATTGTGTGAGGGAACAAAAACGACAGCCTTTACTTTTCCACAAGACAAATTCTCTTTCCTTCTAGAAAGTAAATCATGCATGCCACTATTATCTCAGTATTTTGACAGTCTCTGATCTAAACTTCCTTGATCAGTTATTGACCTAAGCCGGTTCCATTTAGCTCAAAAAATACTCAGTGACTAAACTTTATTCAAATTTGCAATTTCCCAATCCATTATTACATTATTATGTGCATCGAAATTGAAATTCTTACTCAATGCTTGCATTGTACGTGGAGAGGAGCAGAACCGAATGGGAGCAGTAAAGAGTTGCCTCCAATCAAACCATAGATAGATCGGGGTTAGAACAATAACTTGGGTGTAGAACTTTCCCCATTTAATGATAAATGAATTTTTTGTTTTATGAGCAGCAGTCGAGGCCGTCATTAGTTTAGTGCAAGCGTTGATGCCATTTTGGAACGATGCCACACCTGGGTGGCTGGCTAAAGTGTCTGGCCTACCGCGCAATGAAAGTAACATGTCCCAAACATTTTGATTAATCCTCCCTGTACTCTCATGCCTGCATCAGGGAGGAGCTACAGGAAGAATAGAGGATTAATGCTACGCTGTGTACAGATCGTATCTGCTTGCGGGTACTTAGTCTATGGCTTGTTAAATGATTTGTGACACAAAACAGCAAACAAATCAACTTTTTTCCTTAAAATTATTAGAAATTTAGTGGCACGGCTTGACCGCTCTTACACCATAAAAGTAAAAGAATGCAAAATATTTCGTGTTGACAACAATTTCACTTCATTTAAATGGCTTATTTATCTTCATCATCCCAAATGTATTATCATAATAACTTCCACCTGGGGGGATCTGGTGATGTAATGTTTATTAAAAATTTAATGGTATCTACCTTGTTAACGACAAGACAGGGTGATGCCAAATTAAGTCCGCCATTCCATCCGCGTGGGTACATTTTTTTTCACTTAGTGTCAAGCTATCTCCTCCTCCGTGTTGGACGTGGCGGTTGCACGCATTGATGGCCCTTGCCTTCACGAAGAGGCTATTAATGACCCAGTTTAACAATGGTGTAGCTTATTTAGAGGGTCCCAGGCATCACAGTCTGGCCAATGAACTCGCCATTTGAGGTGCTTATGGCATACATAATCCACAGTCATTCTGCCTAAACAAATAAGGCGCATGAAGAGATTTCTGAATGATTAAATTAATTCCACATGAAAGCAATCCCTATTTTATTGGTAAAGTTTTGTCCGAGATTCCCTCCAATCATAGAACCCTCTTGAATGGGTAGCTGTTAATTTTACCTGCTCTTATTTGGTTCTTAATCCATTGGTGCTATATGCTTCGGGTTTTATAGGAAATAAAACTCCTGTTTTGCCACACAATCGACTCAACTTGGGCGTATCCAACACCCACGGTGCGTTGTTACATTTGGGAAAGGCCTTCACGTTTCCCCCTAGTTGCACACCGCACTGATCCCCTCTAATGGCCCATTAAGAAGGAGGCTGAGGTATGATTTGTGACGATTAGTTGGTTGCTTCTGTTAATCGCACAGCACAATAAATTGCCTCCAAATGTATCATTTAGAATCTTGGCTTTAAATGGTCGCTTATAAACTCTCCCAGCGGGCATTTCTCTTTGAAGGCAAAAAGCATTGGCTTAAATGTCTTCAGCTTGAGTGTGCTTAAAATAGGGATAAAAAAAGCAATATGGCTTAGTTATCTTCCTTTAAACGCTGATTGGATGTACAGTGAGGTCTCGATTATCCTAATTAAGAGGTATCTGTGCTAGATTTCTCAGTACCCCGCAAGATTTTATTACCAGTTTCAATTAGTAAAGACGTGGTCTTGTGTGCATTAACTACCCAAGACGTACATTCCCTCTTTGTCGGGGCATCAACGATTTCCTCCCTAAATCTGATCATTTTTGCCATTGAGTCGAGTCTAGGCAAACTTTTTAAAATATCTTAGTTTTTAATATATTTTTATTAACAAAATTGCGAAATTCAATTAAATCAGCCACGCATTAGCTATGCTTTCTTACCCATTCCGTACCCATCTATCCATCCATTAGGGCATATAACGGGAAGTTGCCTATGCATTCAATTACTGCAACTTTCCAGGTATATTCAAATGGCTCTCGAATTGAAAAATGCATTTGACCTGGAAAATGGGCATGATAAAAACGGTAGGCAGCTGTAATGTACCAAATATTTCAGTACTACACTTTGTAGAATGCAGTAAGATTGGAAACAGGGGCAGGCATTCCGCTGTCGGGTTGGCCTACTTCTGAGATTCGTTGAGTAATTGGCATAAATATCACTGGATAAGAATCACCTTTAAGACATTATCCATGTTTTTATGCCACTCCGATCTTTCTTGTATTTAGCAAGTAAGTGAATTTGTTTGTCAAGCCTCCCGTGAACGAAATTTTGTGAGGGTACCATTCCATCGGAGTTTTGAGTGGTTAGCCTCTCCGTAAGTTGAGAACTGGAGGTGACCATAATTGCATATGTCTACATCCGAAATAGCCTCCTAATAGAGTAAAGTACTTCTTCGCGGTGGCTATCGTGTATGATCACTATTAAGATGCGCACTCAAGATGCGTTTCAGCGTGGTATGCTCAACCTAAGAGAAACACGCCTCTTATCACTGATATCCCTATGGAACATCTATAGCTACATAAAATAAACATGACATGCCAGGCAATTAAAATTCCTTTTTATAGAGGGAAAAAGCTCGTGCCTCTTTTATACTGCAGTCGAGCAATGAGGAAATAATTACCATAGTCTGCAATTCATCCCAACGACACGAGTACACACGCC